ACTAATAGTATAAAATCCAAAAGAAAAGTTAAATAAGTATTATCTGTATCAGTAAGTTGACCAATTATGAAAGAGATTAAATGCAAAAACAATCTAGTCTGTGCTGCACTATAATTAAATTTGTACTTTATATATGTATATATATATATATATATATATATATATATATATATATATATATATATATATATATATATATATGTATATATATATATATATATATATATATATATATATATATATATATATATATATATATATATATATATATATATATATATATATTGATGGCAAGCACATCGACAGAATGTATATATATGCTTATTATTATGTTTATTAATATATATATATATATATATATATATATATATATATATATATATATATATATATATATATATATATATATTTTAATAAACAAGACAAATATTTTAATTAATAAAACCATTTTATTAATTTTAAACAATACATGTTTCAACTATCACTAGTCATCTTTAGTTGAATTTAAGTTTTTAAATTTGTTTAAATACCTATATAGGGGATTTTTACAATAACAATACAAAATGTAATTACCTGTGTACAAAAATATTAATTTAATACAAAAATACGACAAAATCTATAAGAAAAACAAGTCATACTAAAAGATGAATAGGAAGTGATGAAGGAATAGGTTTATAAAAATTTACATAGAAAGTAATAACTAAACAGAAAGTGTCATTTGGACATGGTTGACTTGTTTGTTCAAACCAGGTTTTAACCAATAGAACATTTAAAATCAATAGTACTAAACTAGGGTTTAACTCCGACATTAACAACCTTTTCAAAGTATTTCAAAGAAAAATGTATCCATCTTGGCTATTATCAAAAATATATAAATCTTATTTAAACAAAATTAACACAAACAATCCAGCACAACCAAAAATCAAAGAGCCTTCGTCTTACTTTAAACTATCATTTTTAGAAAAAATATCAGAATTTACTAAAAAAAGATTGAATTCAATTGTTAAAAGATACTGCTGCTCTGTAAACTTTAAACTAGTTTTTGTCTTTTTCAAAAGTTTCAAAATTTTTTTCCTCTAAAGATCCTATTCCTCTAGAGTTCAAATTGTTCGTGGTCTACAAATTTGTATGTGCAGGATGTAACTCCTGTTATATAAGCGAAACTACTCGCTATCTCAAGACACGAATAACTGAACATTATAAGAGAGACAAAAAAATCATATATCTATAAATATCTCCATGGTAATGAAATTTGTTTTATGCAATTAAATGAAAAGTGTTTTTCCATTTTAGATTCAGCATCTAATAAGTTTGAATTAAAACTTAAAGAAAGCGAGTTCATAGATTGGTTAAAACCTGGTTTGAACAAACAAGTCAACCATGTCCAAATGACATTTTCTGTTTAGTTATTACTTTCTATGTAAATTTTTATTAACCTATTCCTTCATCACTTTCTATTCATTCTTTTAGTATGACTTGTTCTTCTTATAGATTTTGTGGTATTTTTGTATTAAATTAATAGTTTGTACATAGATAATTACATTTTGTATTGTTATTGTAAAAATCACCTATACAGGTATTTAAACAAATTTAAAAATTTAAATTCAACTGAAAATGACTATATGAATATATATATATATATATATATATATATATATATATATATATATATATATATATATATATATATATGTATGTATGTATATATATATAAAACATTATAAATTGAAAAATGTTCTAATGTCACTCTGTTTTAGTTTTGAAGATACATCTCTATCGAATGTAACCAAGAATGCGTTGAGCTTTTGTTGCAAATCTTCACTCATACAACTGAAGTCTGTTTTCATCTGAATATGCAGGTTTCTGCTGATCTGCAGAAATTCCTGCTTTTGCAAAACAATTAATGATGGTGGAAGTTTTCACTTTTTGCCATGCAAGATTTAAAATCAAAAAAACAGAAAGATCTTTTTTTTTATCAATAGCTACAACTAGCCTTTGCAATGCCAAAGATCTGTTATACACTTTCTCTGGCTTTTTTTTTACGAATTGTTGCTTATACTGCCACGTTTCTGCTCCTTATATTTAAAAGCTATTTAAATACAAGATTATCTAAATTTGAAAACGTTCCTTCTTTAATTCAAATACGTTTCGACTTGTTGCCCTGCGTCTTCATACATTCGAAATGTTTTTTTTTGATCCATGTTGACAGTGTATTTTTTGGAATGCCAAATTTCATAGCAACCTGAGACTTTGACAATCCTTTTCCAAATCCCTTAAAGCAGAGTACTTTTCTTTAATTGATTTTCTATTCATTTTTCTCTTTACAGCAACAGTAGCCATAATTAAATGTAAGCACAATAAATTTTATTATAATATTGCAACGCACATTAGTATAACTTAAACTATAAACTTAATCAAACTATTATTATAGTTAACATTGCAATGCAAGGGTTTGATTGCAGTTTTTTTCATAATTTTGCTCTAAAGTTCTAAAGTATATAAATTGCAAAACTTACGTTGGCAGGCCTTGCGATAAAGCATTGGGCAATGTGAATTTTACGTCGTCCAAGAGTGATTTTGCATGTTGCTAGGGCTATTTGCGTCTAGCAAAAAAAATTTTTGTTTGAGTATATTTAAAAATACTTTTGAACGGAATTTTAATGAAGTAATTTACGATTATTTTAACATTTAATAAAGTATTTTAAAAACCGCACGCATTTGATATAAAAGTTTGAATTACAAAAAAATTAAATACGCTCATTATTTACATGTAGAAAAAATTCAGATTAAAAAAACATTTTAAATATTTTTAAGCTAACATTTTAATAAAATTATTCAGCAATAGCAAGTTTCGGAGTTATAGAGTTGAGAGAGGGTTATAGCCACAAAATAAGTAGCCTCCTCGTCTGTAGTGGCCTTCATGGCCTTGAGGAGATGAAGTAAAATTAAAAAAAAAAAAAAAAAAAATTATTTTACAGGGGTTTGTTAGGTTTTAAAATTATTACATAGATTTGAAAATATTTATTAACTGTTAGACGTATTTAAAGCATTTAAGAGTAATTTTGAGGAAACATTTTTAAAATTGGCGCAAATAAAAAAAAATAAAAAGATTAATATTAAACGTATTCTACTTAATTCAATAAAAAAGTACAGTTATTAAAATTTTTGTAAAAAGTAACTCGAAAAAAAATTACTTAAATAATAACAATAGCTTTTTTGTTAAAAGTTACCGAAACTTTACTTATTATTTATTTTACTAGAAATAAAGTTCCTTGTAAACATTAAAAATCTATTCAAAACGTTCGTTGAAGTTTTTTAGTAATACGAGTGATTGTGCTTATTAACTGCTTTATGTAAATAAATAAAATTAAATAAATAAAAATATTATATAAAATTGCTGGTAAAAAATATTAGCTATTGCACAGTTTTTAATTGTACAATATTAAAATTTCTAGTTTATTACTCGCTGACTTTTTAAAAAGAACTTTAAATTACATATTTGAGAAAAAAAAAAAAACATATTTGCATATTTTATAATCTTTTTTAAATATTTAGTTATAATGTTATTTATTTGTTTAGTATAGACAAAACATGTCAAACGATGAGAAAATAAACAAAGGTTTTTACATTTTAAAAAACGAAACATTCCTAAACATTTTTAAAAAATAACATTTCTACATTAATGATTTAAACTAGTTTTGCTGTAATTAAGTAAATTGGTGCAGTTAATGTTGATAAATATGAAAAGCAAATAAAAAGAATTTAATGACGTCAAAAATCACGTCGTGCTTATGCGTCGCGCAGTTTTTATTTATCACAAGCCCTGGTTGCCATTCAGTAATGCCAACCCAAAAGCCAACCTTACATTACTTTACGACTGCAAATTTACAATTAAATTATTATTAAAAATTAACAATTGCTAATCTGAATCTAATAAAGCATTTGCATACAAAAATAAATATAAGTAAAAACTATGTAATATTCTTTCAGAGTATATTTTTTCTCAAAATTATTCCAATATAGCTATTTTTAATTTTCATTGGTATTTTATGGTAGAAACAAAATGCCAAATAAAAACTTTAAAGTAAAGTATGGAATGAAAAAGTATGAAAAAGTAATTAACTTCCATGTTTGAGAACTGGTCATGTATCTATTAAAGCTGCATTTGCAAACTCTATATTATATTATTAAAGCTTTAGAAATGCATAGATTTAGAGGAATAAATGAGTAACTTTGTTATTAAAAAATTTTTTAAATTATTTTTAAAAATTAAAGTAGTAAAAAAATATTTTAAAAAACATTTGAAAAGTAATTTTTAGTGAAAATTACTTTTTGAATGTCTGTTATTCTTATGCACTTTTACTCTAAATTTTTTTGCAATTATTGTTTTATCAAGTTTTAAAATCTAATAACAATTTAATTTATTAGATAAAAGTGTTCATTTACATGTTTACAATTTTTTAAATATTATTTGAGATAAGAAAGTCTAATAAGTTTAGCCTTGTTATAGATAAACTGATGTGTACTATAAACTGTTATTAACTCTATATTATATTTCTAAACAATTTACCATTTTACCAATTTACCAATTTACCATTGCAAAATATTTGCCCGTAGCACATAAACTGAATTTGTATTTTTAAACAATGTTCTTTTTATGTTCAATATAAAAAACTAACAAAAATGTTATAAATAACCTATGATGTTTTTGTTGTTAAAAAACAACTTTGAAACTAAAATATCATTAATTCATAAATTTGCTTTATATTACATAAAGTTTAATTTTAAAAATTTTCCTAATGTTATGCTTTTATAAAGCGATGCTTTTGTAATTAATTAATCATTACACATTTTGTAACAGAAAGAAAATATTCATAAAAGTTTTTTGCCGACCTGATGTCAGCTATGTATGGCTCTCGATCAGCTATGTATGGCTGACCTAAAATCCTTTAAATTTTGCAGGTAAATAGTTTTTGGATATTTTTAAATTTATTTTTTACCCAAACAATCGTCCACTTCTTCAGCTAAACCTTGACATTGAAAGTCTGAGTCTGAAACATTACAATGTCTTGTTCTGCTTATCAACCCTAAAGAGACATTGCAACTTGTCCAGCTGCTCCATTCTGTCCAAATAACTAAAATAAAATAATGAAATAAAAAATTTCAGAGACATAACATGCTTTTAATGAAACTTAGACAGCTATTAAAAAGGCACAGCACAATTCTTAGTAAAATTGGTGCTGATTATTACATTTTAAAATAGTAAAAACATGCATTACAAAAAAAATTCTTTTTTAACCCTTAAAGATAATGTAGTTTTAAAACTGACACTGTGCTTTGAATTATAACTACACAGTGGGCACACAACGTTATTTCGACATTGATTTACGGTTGATTTTTAGTCGCGACGTCGTATAACCAAAATTCAACATTGAATCAACGTTGAAAACTTGTTTAAAAACTATCAATTAATATCGAAGTTGATTCCACGTTAATTCAAGGTCTATATTACGAGTTTGACCATTTGTATTGCATTTTGAGAACTCAAATATGCATACGTGACTTTACTAGTTATTCATAAGGCCTTATGTTGCCTTTTTAAAAAGTTAATGTAATATTGTTAAATTTCACAATTTAAAAATATCACATGGTTTAACTTGGGATGCAGCTAGTTAGATAAATATTAAATGGATATTTTTTTATGACGGTAATATTTCATGAGTATAGATTACCAGTAGACTTTGCTTGAATTTTTCTTACAGTTTTTTAAGTAAGTTTTTTTTTTTAAATTTTTTTAAATGGTTTCTCTAGGTATGTTAGTATATTTAACTATACTAATTTTATATTATATAAATATAAAATATATATTATCACTGTAAACATATATATATATATATATATATATAATATATATATATATATATATATATATATATATATATATATATTATATATATATATATATATATATATATATATATATATATATATATATATATATATTTATATGAATATATATATATATATTTATATGAATATATATATATATATATATATATATATATATATATATATATATATATTCATATATATATATATATATATATATATATATATATATATATATATATATATTTATATGAATATATATATATATTTATATGAATATATATATATATATATATATATTCATATATATATATATATATATATATATATATATATATATATATATATATATATATATATATATATATATATATATATATATATATATATATATATATGTATATATATATATATATACATACATATATATATATGTATATAAATATATATATATATATATATATATATATATATATATACATATATATATATATATTCATATATATATATATATATATATATATATATATATATATATATATATGTATATATATATGTATATATATATATGTATTTATATATATATGTATATATATATATATATATATATATATATATATATATATATATATATATATATATATATATATATACATACATATATTAATATATATATATATACATATATAAATATATATATATATATATATATTTATATATATATATATACATATATATATATATATATATATATATATATATATATATATATATATATATATATATATATATTAGGGTGGTCCATAAAACAACTTTTTTGAGAAAAACCTGCTGACACCCCCTAAATGTGTTTTATCTAATGCAAAAACACTAGGTTTAAAATTTTTTTGAACAAAAATTATTTTTAGGGGTAGCTCAAAGCCCTCAAAAATTTGACGGGTCCCTATATTTTGAAAAAAAAACTTTTTCTAAAGTATGTCAACCTGGTACTCAAAAGAAGCGATATTGTATAAAAACTTCAAAAATAATAATCATTTTACATAAAAAACATGCCTAAAAAAAATTATTCTCAAAAACCTGAAATATTGACTTTTTTTATTTTCAGCTTAAAAACAATAGTTTTTATGCATTTATACCTAAAAAAATTATTTTTATAAAAAATTATTATCATTTTTAAATTTTTTATATAATTTTGCTTATTTTGAGTACCAGGTTGACATACTTTAGAAAAAGTTTTTTTTTCAAAATATTAGGGACCCGTCAAATTTTTGAGGGCCTTGAGCTACCCCTAAAAATAATTTTTGTTCAAAAAAATTTTAAACCTAGTGTTTTTGCATTAGATAAAACACATTTAGGGGGTGTCAGCAGATTTTTTCTCAAAAAAGTTGTTTTATGGACCACCCTAATATATATATATATATATATATATATATATATATATATATATATATATATAATATATATATATATATATATATATATATATGTATATATGTATATATTTGTATATGTATATATATATATATATATATATAAATATATATATATATATATATATATATATAAATATATATATATATATATATTTATATATATATATATATATATATATATATATATAATATATATATATATATATATATATATATATATATAGTTTAATAGTGTCTTCTGTTGTTTAGGAAAACTTAGGAAATTTTTTTGCTTGTTACGCTCTTGTCATTAGAGGTTTTTTAAACCATCAAAATATTATTTGAAACAATGAAAGAAAAAAGATTGCTACCCCATGCCAAACCCTCAGTTGATATAGTAGCACTACCTTGTAGCAGCAGACTATAAGATAGTTGATGTACGTAGTGAAGCCAATAAATATTCGCTGTTCATATTAAAAAGTCACCATTTTAAGCATGTCTCCACGCAAGATCGCAACAAGCGAAAAAATAAAAATATTTTAGGTGGCTTAACTGCAGATTTATCGCTTTTCAACAACCATGTGATTCAAAGAGTTTGAATATTGTTCATATTAAAAAAAAATATCTGTCTGATAAATGTATAACAAATAAAGCAGATTTTTCATGTAAAGTTATATGCATGTTGTATAAAAATGGATTTGTGCTTGCACCTTTAGTCCATGATATTGTTTGGTAGCACAAAAAACTTGATATCATGTGTTGGTAAATAAATTTAAATTTGTTTTCATTTAATCCTTAAGTTTAATTCTTAAATACAGCAAAAATTTATTTTATGATTTTTTAAAAAAGAGTTACCAAAAAAATATCTTAATTTTATATCAAATTACTTTAAAAAATAATTGTTATAAATTTTGTTATTATAAAGAAAATAGTACTTTTAAAGGCTTTATAAACATTTATGGTAAAACTAGGGCCCTGTGAATTGGCAGTTTTTGTTTCGAATTGAATCGCAAATCAAAGCAGGTCTTGATTCGCAATTCAAATCACATTTCGAATTTACATTTTGAAGTCTAAATTTAAGCATTTTATATTTAATAATATATATTTCAGAATAAAATAAAACAATTAACAATCTCTTAATTGATGATTTTTGCCCTGGTTAACCTTTTTAATGACTGATTAAAAAGGTATTTAAAGAAAAGTAAGGTTATTTTGATTTGATTCAATTCAAAATTTCAAAATTTTCACAGGCCCATAGGTAAAACATTTTAATACTTTAATTTCAATATAATTTTCATTAGGCAGCTATATAATGTATAAGTTAAAGTTGTAATTTTCTGTTAGGTAATTCATACTAACAAATATTTTATGTATGAAAATGAAAAGTGTTGTTTTTAAAAATAAACTTTTCTAGTTTATAAAGTATAGTAGGGCAAGCAAAATGTACATTCGAGCTGTTTGGATAGAAAATAGAGAGAAATAGAGAGAGAAAATACGATTGATAATTTTTTGTGTTAATGATGATTAAATGTAATAAATTGTTTAAATGAAATGCATGAACCACAGTCTAACTAATAAAGATTTAAGCTGCTCAAAGTGGAGATAATATAATTTTGTTTATAAACATCAAGTCATTACTTTTTTTCCTTTCTTCTTTAAAATGCTCTATTTCTGTATATGTTGTTTTTAGTGTTTAAGATATATTTTTTATTATATAATATATTTAAAACATAGTTTTAAATTGAATGATTATTCTTAGATGAGTTATGTGATAATTTTGAATTTGCCACTACTAGTGATACTCAGATGGAACTATTTTAAAAGATTTAAACTTAAGTTAAAAATTTATTCAAGTGTTACTAGTTTTATTATAATATTATTTGTTATAAAAACCAATACCATTCTTATGCAAGAGAAAACATAATCCAAACAAAAATAACCAACAGAATAGTAAGCAAGTACCTACTACTTTAACGCAAAAAAAGAAAAAGAATACAACTTTTATGCATACTCCGCATACTGTAGCTCAAGGCATTTTTCAATGCTTCAGAAGTTTACACATTTTATTTGTTGTTAATTAATATATTTTATTTATTTATTTTATAAGTGTTTTAAAATTATTCTTTTATTGTTGATATTTATTTGTTTGTTATGACATTTTATTTCATTGTTATGACATTTATTTTCATATTAGCATTTAGTAAAACCTATTTTGTTTCTAGTATTCTAGTATTGATTATTTTTTTACAATGATTGATTTACTTTTTTATCTTAAAGATATTTAGATCAGCAATAGCAAGATTTTCCTGAAAAAAGAGAGGATTTTAATATAGTGCAAAGGCGAGATGGCGCATGTGTTTTTCCGCAGAAAAGAAAAAAGTTGTTTTGCCAAAGACACCTGCATTAATTTCCTTTAAAAAAAAATTACTAAAAAAGATTCCTCATTGAATGGAAAGTCTCCCATTACTGAGTAAGGTATGTGTAATATTTGGTATTTATTTTGGTATGCATTCATTTTATTAATTAGTAAAAAAAGCAAGTAATTATTTTTAAGACATTAGAAAAAATATATTTTTTGAAAATCCAATTATTTTGTTTATTTAATAAATAGATATTTTGATACAGTATGTTTTGTTTTTGTGTTTCGATGCTTTTAGAAATTAATTAATGTTTGGTTCTTTTGTGTTCTTGTAATATCTTTATTATTTTAGAATATAAAATAGAAATTCAGAAGAAAGTTATATATGCAGTGGTAGAAATGAAAGAGATGTTAGTAAAGCTCTTTCCAGTAGTTAAAATAATATCATGACAAATAGTCCTGAAATTTGATGGATGAATTTGCAGCAGTCATTTAGTGATTAAGATAACAGTTTAAATGATTTTCGGTTGAGATCTGAAGGTAGATTATTTCAAACCATGACTTTTTGCAGCTTTTTTTTTTTTTGGGGGGGGGGGGGTTATGTATTTGCTAAAGTTAATCTATTTGTAACTTTTTGTAAATGTACTATAAAAATGTGATGTAATTATTTTCTTAAACCTTTAGGTTAACAAACGTTCTAAAATAAGAGGTAAGACAATTACAAAAAATGTGATGCAAAAGTTAGTAAAAGGTTTTGAATAAAAAATCTTTTGAATCTAGTAGTTATTAAAACTTGTGATAAAAATATGTTTAGCTTAGTATTTCTAAATAAAATATATGCACATAAATAAACATACATGTATATGTATGAATATATACAAACATTTATATACATACATATGCGTATATATATATATATATATATATATATATATATATATATATATATATATATATATATATATATATATATATATATATATATATATATATATATATATATATATATATGTATATAGTATATATATATACATACATATATATATATATATATATATATATATTTATATATATATATATATATATATATACGTATATATATATATATTACTATATATATATATATATTTATATATATATATATATATATATATATACGTATATATATATATATATACGTATATATATATATATATACGTATATATATATATATTACGTATATATATATATATATATATATACGTATATATATTATATATATATATACATATATATATATATATTACGTATATATATATATATATTTATATATATATATATACGTATATATATATTAGGGTGGTCCATAAAACAACTTTTTTGAGAAAAAACCTGCTGACACCCCCTAAATGTGTTTTATCTAATGCAAAAACACTAGGTTTAAAATTTTTTTGAACAAAAATTATTTTTAGGGGTAGCTCAAGGCCCTCAAAAATTTGACGGGGTCCCTAATATTTTGAAAAAAAAACTTTTTCTAAAGTATGTCAACCTGGTACTCAAAAGAAGCGATATTGTATAAAAACTTCAAAAATAATAATCATTTTACATAAAAAACATGCCTAAAAAAAATTATTCTCAAAAAACCTGAAAATATTGACTTTTTTTATTTTCAGCTTAAAAACAATAGTTTTTATGCATTTATACCTAAAAAAATTATTTTTATAAAAAATTATTATCATTTTTAAATTTTTTATATAATTTTGCTTATTTTGAGTACCAGGTTGACATACTTTAGAAAAAGTTTTTTTTTCAAAATATTAGGGACCCGTCAAATTTTTGAGGGCCTTGAGCTACCCCTAAAAATAATTTTTGTTCAAAAAAATTTTAAACCTAGTGTTTTTGCATTAGATAAAACACATTTAGGGGGGTGTCAGCAGGTTTTTCTCAAAAAAGTTGTTTTATGGACCACCCTAATATATATATATATTTATATATATATATATATTTATATATATATATATTTATATATATATATATATATATATACATACATATGCGTATATATATATATATATATATATATATATATATATATATATGTATACATATATATATATATATACATATATACATATATATATATATATATATATATATATATATATATATATATATATATATATATATATATATATATATATATATATATATATATATATATATATATATAATGTATCAATTTTTAATATAACTATTATAATAATAACAAATAATACAGGTTGTTGGCTAATGGTTTATAATCAAAATTTAATATGGCTGGCAGTAAGAATAAAGAAAAGTTTGAAGGAACAAACATTTGTAAGGTTGTTACTGGTAAGTCAAGTGTAAAACTATATGTTTTTAAAATCAGAGATCGTTGCTTTGATGATAGATTTGTTTTATATTTATTTTTTTATGTATTTTATGCAAATTACTCAGACAAAACCTTTTTTTTATAGAGAGCAACATGTCAATTAAAGCAACTACTACAGTTGCCGAAATAAGAAAAGGAAAAATGACTTTATTAAAATACGCACTCGAATGGTGGTGGTGGGCGCGTAAAAGACAATTCACTAGATGTATAACATTTTTTCCTAACTGTTCTGCAACTATTGTTAAATAAAACATTTTTTTTAAAAAACATTTTACTCTATTTGCATTGTGTATAAAGTCCCTTGAAGCAATTTAGTTGTATCTGATTAATTTACTTGAAATATAATATTCTTTGCTCAAATTATGCCTTTTTATTGCATTATTTTATTGCAATTAAAGTTGAGATAATTTTTTAGTTAATCGAGTTTAACCAAAATAAAAAACAAAAATCAACGTTGAATTTATGTTGTTTCAACATTGTTCTAACGTCTTATCGATTACGTATCAACTGAATATATAACCTATTCAAAGTTGAAATATGGTTGATATGTAGTCAATAAGAGGGTAGGACAACGTAATCATTGACGTTGTTTTAACGTCGTAGAAAACAACGTCGCTGAAAACAACGTCGCTGAAAACAACGTTGTTTTCAACGTCGGATTTTATTTCCAATTCCACCAAATTTCAACGCTGTTTCATCGTGGCATATGATCGGTTTGCGATGTTGTTATTTCAATGTCATTGTGCCTGCTTGGTATATACCATTATAAATATTTTTATTAAAAAATCTTTTGAATTTAATTTTAAACAAAATTACTTACAAAAACAACTTCTTGTTTCATAGTTATCGCCAAAACATGTCTCATTAGTATTTGAAACATTACATATCCTTGATCTGGTCATTAATCCCAATTCATCACAAAATGACCAATAGCTCCATTGTTCCCAAAAAGCTACAAAATTAATGAAAAATTATCATATGTTTAACAGTAAGATAGCATAAGGAAAAATTGCCCTTGTTTCATGTTACTTCATTTTAAACTACAACTTTCCTGCATTCTTAATCTGCATTAAAAAAACATTATTTGTGTAACTTTGAAAAACTAATAACCGTAATAAAATGCTTTTATTAACGAAAAACACAAATTATATTAAAAAAATTTATTTGTTTCTTTTGTTGAAAATAACTATAAAATTAGAATGTTCACAACTTTGTTTACTTCAATACTATGACCATGTAAATTATCTAAACATTACTAAACTCAAATAAAAAACTTTTAGAAAACGATCTTTTAAATCAGATTTACTAAGAAACTTGTTTACTAAGCTTTGTCTTTTCAGAACATTTTTTATTGCTAACACAGTTTTATTTTGTTTCTTAGAAATTTTAGAACTGAACTAAAATGCATTCAAGCTCTTTGTAGTTCAGTTCAATTTATTATTGTTACTTTTTGCTTTGCCTAAAATTAAAAGTATTAATGAGAATAAATGTTTTTAGATTAGCAAACTGATACTGATTAGATTAAGTTTACTATTCAGTTTTATTTTAGTTTGGTGAGTCATACACATACATACATATATTTATCATACAATATTATTTGATATTTTAGAAAAAATTGTTTCAACAAGTGTTGATTCAACATATTTTTTAGAACCAACATTTGTTGAAATAAGTTTTTCTAAAAAAATCTAATGTTATTGTTGGTTGCATTTATAAACACTCTTGCATGGATATATATCATGTCTATCCTTCTTCAAAAAATGAATGCTTAAAATAAATTGATTTTCTTATTAGGTGATTATAATGTTGATCTGATACAATCAAATAATGACACTGCAACGTCTAATTTTTTAAACTTGCTTTCTTTTTATAATATTCGCCCTTTTATCACTTTGCCAACCAGAATTACTAACTACTCTGCTACAATGGTTGACAATATTTTATCTAATTTAATAACTAATGAAATTATTTCAGGAAATTTGACAACTTCAGCTTATGATCATTTAACCTTAATTTTGTATTTGTCTTAATTTTAATAAGTTATTTATACCACGCAATCACAATTTATATCACAGAAATTAAAAAACTTTTATCACAGAAATTAGAAAAATTCAAATCAGATTATTTAAAAATTAATTAAGATAATCTTATAGAGAACATAATGTTAACTCTTGTTTCCAACATCTATTTCTGAAACAACCTTGATTTTGAATCGCTACGCCCCACTTAAAAAAGTTAGTATTAAGAACTTCAAGCGTCGATTTAAACCTTGGATTACAAAGGGATCTTAATATCTATTCAAATACGCAATCTTTTAAAAAAAAATGTTAAGACCGAAAGACATTAGGAACATAAACACATTTAAAACTACTTTCAAACAATGTAAATACACTATAATTAACTTAATTAAGCTAAGTGAAAAAATGTATTTTAAAAAGTACTTTACAGAAAATGTAATAAAACTTTGCAAAATTAGGAATAGAATTAATAATTTAATAAATGTCAAAACTCTAATCACTCATCTCCCAAATGTTTACAAGATAATGAAACATATATAACTGAACCAAATCTTATCTCAGAAAAGTTTAACACTTTTTTACAAACGTCACACAAAAACTTAAATCCAATATTCATTCGTTTTACATAAACTATACAAAATATCTAAAGTACCCAAGTTTCCATAGTCTATTCCTATCTCCAACAAATATTTATGAAGTTTTATCTCTTACATCTTATTTAAAGCCGAGAAAATCATCAGGCCCAAATAGCATTCCCACAAACATTCTTATCGATTTTAACAATTTTCAAATATTCTTTCTAAACTATTTAATTTATCATTCATAAATGGAACTTTTCCGAATATTTAAAAATTATCTTGTGATATCCCAATATTTAAAAAACAGCTCTAAACTTTTATGTACTAACTACAGACCTATTTCTCTTTTAACTAACATTAGTAAACTTCTTGAAAAACTTATGTATTCTAGAGTGAACTCTCTTCTTAATTCTTTTAACTGTTTAAATGAATTTCAATTTGGTTTTTGTTCAAAACATTTTACCTGAAATGGATTGATAAGTATAACTTCAAAAGTCAGGAAAGCTCTCAACACAAGTCATTTTGTTTGTGGTATTTTTATAGATTTACAAAAAGCTTTTGATACCGTTGATCATAACATTTTGATTTCTAAATTAGAACACTATGGTATCCATGGTGTTGTAAATGACTGGTTTTGATCTTATCTTACCGATTGGAAACAATTTGTAAGTATTAATGGTTATAATTCTACTAATAAATCTGTTGTGTGCAGTGTTCCTCAAGGTTCTGTTCTTGGTCCTCTTTTGTTCTTAATTTATATTAATGAGATAAACAACTCTATTCACTTCTCGTCAATTCATCTTTTTGCTGATGACACAAACCTATTGCATATTAACAAATTGTATAATTATGTAAAAAAATAAATTCGGATCTAAAAAGTATTGTTCACTGGTTAGAATTTATTTGAATTTAATTTTAAATAAAATTACTTACAAAAAAAACTTCTTGTTTCGTAGTTATCGCCAAAACTCATTTAATTAGTTTAGTCTCATTAACATGTCTCATTAGTATTTAAAACATTACACATCCTTAATCTGGTCATTAATCCCAATTCATCACAAAATGACCAATAGAAGAATACATAAAATTAAATTCAAATAAATGCTATATTCACTGGTTAAACTTAATAAATCTTAATGAAAAAAAAACAGAACTGATCTTATTCTCATCTTCCAAAAAAAAACACAATTTAAACAATAATTCTAAAATCCAAATCAAAACTCATAATAAACGGTTATATCCCACAAAAGGTTATCAAATATCTTAGTGTTTTGATTGACTGCAATCTCTCATGGAATTTTCATATCAATGAGCTACACAAAAATTGAGCTAACACCGCACTTTCAATAATTCGGCATTATGTCGATAAATTCACACTAAAGAATATTTACTGTACATTATTTTTTATCCCATCTTAACTACTGTTGCCAAATTTGGGGTCAAAATGGCAACTATCACATCAAAAAATTGATGTCCTCTCAACGTCAATCCATAAGATCCATAAACTTCCAACCTTTAAAGTTAGAAACATCAGAATCTTTCAAAAAACTGAAAACTCCAACCTTTCCAGCACTTGTAAAATTTGCTAATTTTCGTAATTATTTAAGTTTGATGAGTGTTGACTATAACAGCTTTTAAATGTAAGATTTTGTTAATAAATAGCTTATGAAAATAATTTGATATCAAAATTTCAGAACTTGGTCTATTCTATTTTTAAAAGTGTTTTTGTTAGCAGAATTGATTGCATCTTGTGATAAGAAGTTCCAATCGTCTATCACTCAATTTGTTAAATAGTAAAACTTACATATTTTTTTAGTGAATTCTTGATGAAGCTTTTTATTATGATGGTTTCTGGATATGTGGCGATAAAATCTCAAAGGCTCCCTAAATCTAATATATTCAGTTGAATTTGATATTTTAAACAATTCTATCAAGTCACCCTTTCTCCTTTTTTCTTGAAACGTTGGTAAACCTAATAATTTTGCCTTTTCTTCATAACAGATGTCTTACAGTGTGTCAATTTTAGTCAATCTACATTGTACATTTTCCAGTCTATTAATATCTTTAATACAATATGGGCTCCATCCTGATTATGCATATGCAATCTGTGGCCTAATAATTGACTTTTTTTTAATTCCAGCATCAGAATCAGTTGAGTTTGTTGAGTTTGGTATAATTAAATTATATAATAACTTAAATATGACAACATCAAGATATTTTAATGCATGCTTGATAAAACCTAGTGTTTGGTTAGCTTTATTTGCAACACTAATAACATGATTTTCCCATTTATGGTCATTTGATATTATAATACCTAAATCTCTTTCAATTTTTGTAAAACAGGATCTTCTAATTTGTAGTTAAATTAAGGATTCAATTTACCAATATGCATAAATTTGCACTTATTTCCATTGAACTTAATTGACCACTTATTTGACCAGTGTAACAACTTATTTAAGTCTTTGAGTGTTGCTAAACTTTCATTGGCAATTGCTGACATGATTTTAGTATCATCTACAAATAACTCTAATTTATTTAGTATATTATCATTTTATTAAGTCATTTATATGATATGCAAATAGTAGTAGACCAAGAACTGAACCCTGAGGTACTCCACTTGTAACTTCCTTACAACATGAAATAAACTCACCCAGAGCAACTCTCTGTTTTCTATTATTAAAGAATGTTTTACACCATTGTAAATTATAAGAGTGAAAACCATGACCATAAAACTTGCAACATAATTTAGATAAAGAAACCAAATCAAAATTTTTCGAACTATTCATGTTAATTATATTGGTCAATCGTTTGAAGAATCTAATTTGTTTCTTTTTTTGAACAGTAGAGTTAAGTTTGCAATTAACCATTCATTTGGTATAATACCACTATAATATGACATTTTCTACATCATTGGTAACAAGTGAGAAAGTGATTTTAAACATTCTTTGAGAACATGAGGATGAACTTCTTCAATTCCAACTGCTTTATTTACATTAGGTTTACTTAATGATATTCAACATCAGTGTCATTAAAACTAGGATTGATACAAAAAAATGTCACATTTTGAAGGAAAAGTTACAAGGTCTATCATGTCATCTTTGAAAAATACTGAAATGAAATACTCATTTAAACAATTTGCAATATCTACCTTATTTGTTATAACTGAACCATCAAAAGTTTCAAGTGCATTAATTGAGTCTTCTATAACTGTTTTACTATTTAAACATGAATAAATACTTTTTTTTTTTTTTTTTTTTAAATTTTTAATACCTTTATTTCTTATACCTTTATTAAGTCTTTTTTTACATTTTTATTTAAGGCTTTATAGTCATTTACCATGTCAGATTCTTTAAATT